TCACCAGAGGCAAGACGACCCAGGTGTCGCGCATGGCCACGGGGCGATCCGCCGAAGTGAAACGGCTCTCCAGCTCCGAGCGGAGCCAGTCACCTGCCGGAGACGTGACAGCCCCGCCTGGCCCCTCCTGGCGTTCCCGCCGGCCTCTGGGGTGCGCCCCACCCGAGCCCGCCCCCTGGCGCCCCCGCAGGCCACTGGCCGACCGCTTTCCGCTCTCCGCATTAGCGTCTTGCAGCGCCTGGGTGGCTCTCTGCGGAGGGACCAGAGACGACCTCACGAAAAGCCCCCGGGACGGGCAGCGGGGGGCGGGGGAGGGAGCCCTGCCGGGGAGTGCCCGGGGGACTGGGGGTGGGGAGGGCTCCCTCGATTCAGCAGCCCGGCCTGCGCGGGGGCGGGGAGAGGGACGCCGGGCTCAGGGAGGAGGCCGGGTTTGCTGCACAGACGGGCATTCCCCCTCCCGGGGCGTTTCCGCAGTGGCTGGCATGCTCGGCTCCGGTGATGACCCCGACGGCCGGCCTGCTGCCCTCCCTGAAAGCGGCAGCCGTGGTGCAGCCTGGTAAGGTGGGGGGCGGGGGGGGGAGCGGGGTTCGGACCGAGGCTGGAGCTCGGCGCGCACATACCCTGCCTGGGTGCCGGAGCCCGGGCTAGTCGCCGGGGACCGTCAGAGGAAGACCTGGCCTTCGACTCACCTCCCTGTCGTGGCTGCAGCACGAGAGGCTCACAGGAGTCCCGCGTAGCGTAGGGATCGACACTCACAACAGAAAAAGGACACGCGTTATGCCATGGAATTTTGAAAAGGGAGGGCCCCTTAGCTTTTATTTCGCAAGAAAACCCAGTTTACTAAAAACAAATCGCACAGCCCTAGCGGTATTAAACGTTCTCAATTACTTCCTCTCCTTTGTTACTCATTATTTCCTGGCCATTTTTCTTGAGAGAGAGGAAAAAAAAAAAAAAATGTAACTCTTTAGTGCTCTGGTGAACCCCGTCACTATTGCTTTGGAAGAACTTTACAGAGAGTAAGTTTGCATAAGGACATATATATTGGGCCTGAGTCTGGAAGCATGTCATAGACTGGGCACAAGGGAAGGTTTCAGTATTCTTTGGGGGTCCACCACCAAGCCCTGCAACCCACGCTGCTGCCTCTCTTCCCTCGCGGTTGCATTCGTTTCACTGTAACACACTCTCCTCGCCCCTTCCCCCACCTGGCTTGCTCTTCATTCTTCAGGCTTCCTCTTAGTTGACATTTTCTTCTGGAGGGCTACTCGGGGCCTCGCCCTCCCCCCACAGCCTAGATGAGGTGCTTTCACTCACCCTCTGCTGTCCATCTGTCACTACACTTATCACCAGCCTTGTGGGTCTTTGTCCCGCCTTCCAGTAGGTTGGAAGACCACAAGCGGATGACTCTGGCTGTTCCAGTCTTGTTCACAGAGTTCTGAGCATGTAAACTGACACAACAAGGAGCGAGTCGGGTAGAAAGGGTGGTATACAGGCCCTCTCTGTATTATCTGTGCCATCTTTCTGTAAATCTAAAACTATTCGAAAATAAAACATTCATTTATATTTCAAAATATCATGGAAGGTCGGTAGGAAATGGGGAGGAGGGAGGGAATGAAAAAGGGAGGGGGGAAGAGAGAAAGGGTAACTGACAAAATCAGTCTCTCTTGAGTGTAAATTATGAGCCAGCATCTCTCACAAATGTTTCTTCCTGACTTATCATATAGCCCATTATAGCCCAGTGAGGTGGGTGATTTTTTTTTTTTTTTTTTTTTTTTTTTAGTCGGAGTCTCTCTCTGTCACCCAGGCTGGAGTGTAGTGGCATGCTCACGGCCACCACAGCCTCAATGCGCTGGGATCCGGTGATCCTTCCACCTTAGCCTTCCAAGTGGCTGGAACTACAGGTGAGCACTACCACGTCCAGCTAATTCTTTGATTTATTGCAGAGACGAGGTCTCGCCTTGTTGTCCAGGCTGGTCTTGAACTGTTGGACTCAGGCAATCCTCCCACCTTGGTCTCCCAGTGTGCTAGGATTATAGGTGTGAGCCACTGTGCCGGGCCAGTGATTATTAAACTTATTTTAAAAATAAATAATTGTAGCCAACAAAGCTTAAGCAACATTGGCAAAATTGGCTGGTTAATAAATAGCACAGTCAGGAATTAAACTTAGATATTCTTGCTCCTAAGGCCTTACTCTTTCTACCCCACCCCTCCCAATGCACATCAAATTGTCCTCAAGTTCAGTGAATAGGAATAGATATTTGAGGGAAGAGTTGTGTTTCATGGTCGATAATTTTAGAAAATTCTGGGTTAATTCAAATAGATCTCTTAATCCAAGACTTCTTAATATGCTATATACATTGAGAATGTGAGATGGGTAATGATATATACTGTTCCCCAAACTTATTTGTCTATGGAACCCTTCTAAGAATCTATTGAATGAACACCTCTTGAATGCTGGTGTTCTGGAAAAAAGAGTTTGGGTGTCTTTAAAGGTTATTTTTTATTTTACCAATACATTCCTAAGCGTTCTCAAGCCTTCAAGGGCAAAGAAATACAATTTTAATCATAGAATTTCAGTCTCTCTACCAGATGTGGGAGATATTTTGGACAACCATCCTGATTTTACTCAAACCATATCATATAAGTTAAAGTTTGAGTCTTCTACTCAGAAGGTACACCTGCCTCTGAACATTCGGAATGATGTTTAAACACATATATGACTATGTAAAAAGCTGGGAGGATAAAAAAAATAAAAATGTTGACACCTTTTTGTCACCAAGACTACTTGTTCCTTTCCTCCCATGGACCTAATATCTTAAAAATTGCAGTCAATCAAATTATTTTTACTAAATAGCATTAAGTTGATTTTAATAGTTCCCAGCTGTACATCTGTGGACATCTGTGATTGCTTATCCTATATTTTTTCTCCTTCTTCCTGGCAACAGCACTTCCAAATTGTTGCTTTTAGAAAAACTGCCCCACCCTGAACAATTATTATAATACTCTAAGAAAGGGACTGCAGTAGTGGGAAACTGCCAGGGAAGGGGGGAGTAGGGAGGAGGTGGGAGGAGGCACACTTTATCAATAAGAGTACCTGATCTCAAACCAGGTGAGTGGGAACCAAAGTGAGGCCCAAACTTTACCTGTACAATGACCATTTGTATACCTAGCTCTGACTTGTACCCTGTATCTTTAAAATAAAAATTTTTTAAGGGGGGTAAAAATCTGTTCCTATCCTTTCTCTTAACTATTTGATGTGAGTGGCTATTTTAGTTGGGATTCTCTAGAGAAACAGAACCAATAGGATGGATGGTTGGATGGATGGATGGATGGATGGATGGATGGATGGATGGATGGATGGATAAATACATCGATATTAAGGAATTGACTCATGGAATTGTGGAGGCTGCAAAGTCCAAAGTCTGCAGCCTAGGCCAACAGGCTAGGAAGTGACTCAGGTAGAGTTGCAGTTCAAGCCCAAAGACAGTCTGCTGGCAGAATTCCCACTCTCTCATGGGAGATCAGTCTTTTTGTTAAGATCTTCAACTGATTGGATAAGGCCCACCCGAATTCTAGAAGGCAACTGTGTTATTCAAGTGTACTAATTTAAATGTCAATCTTATTCAAAAAGCTGCTTCACAGAAACATCTAGAATAGTGTTTGGCCAAATATCTGGGTACTATGGCCTAGTTAACTTGACACATAAAATTAACCACGACAGTGCCACTGACACCAATCCCAGGGCTTGGGTACGCACGTAGGTGTGGGGAAGCAGAGGGGTAGGAAACTTGACTTGTCCTAAGCCAATGACTGATTTGAGTAAGTCTTGAGACCTTTGGGGAAACACTGGGACACAAACTTCTTCTCTAATGAATTTGAAATGAGGATATGTGAAACGTGAAGCGGATGCGGTTGTTAGTGAGGGGCAATTATGACCCCACCAGAGTTGAAGGCAGAGTTGACTCATGCCCAGAGGATGCTACACTGAGAGGAATGCATGCTGAGAGGCAGTGCCTGGTAAGACCACTTGCATTCTGGATGAATTTAGTCCTGAAATTCAACCCTGGACTACCCACAGCTATCTAGCTCAGTAAATTCTCAGTTGTTTTGCTTACAACGGAAAAGAATCCTAACTGATGTATCATCAGAGCTTGGGATCAGCATAAGAAATCCTTGGTTACTAAAATAAATTCTTATAAAATTAGCTCTTCTGGTTGCAAGTTCAAGTAAGGGTACTTGCCGCAACCATCTTGTAGAGACTACTGAATATCTAGGGACATTGCTTCTTCGTCCAAAGAATTTTTTTGTCACTAGAGGGCGTCAGAGCCCACAGCAGACAAGTGACAAAATTGAATTTTGTTTTTATCAATTAATGGAAACATATTTGGGTTCTTGAGATAGGAAGAGGGAAGAGGGGAGCTTTGAATTGGATAGGTCATCTGTGAACCTGATCTTATAGACATTTTCATCTCCCAGAGAACATATTATTTCTTACAGGATTACGATGCATGCCAAGCACCTTGGACAGGCAATGAAGACCACAGGGCAGATGGAAAGAAAGATAAGTTAAGCAGTCTGCAACCTCCCTTCCTGTACTACTTCCTGTATGAGCTTGTACATGTGCCTGAAGGTCAGGGGTGGCACAGCCTAAGGAACGGTGCCTCCGAGCTGGGCTGACAGGGCTGAAAGCTCAGACACCAAGATGCAGAGCAAGTTATGTCCTGATTTTTCCCACTAGGAAAAAGACAATAGATAAAAGAATGTTTAGACCAGGCATGCCTAATCCGTGGCCCTGGGCCCAGCACAGCTAGTAATGTGGGCCTACAAAATCTTTTAACATCATGTGTTTTTAGCATTTATTTTCTTCATGACCCCATGCGTCATTCCACTTTTGAAGCTCGCAATCACGCCTTATTCGTGACATCACTTTTTGGCAGTGCATACATTTGCGAGCAGCTGTTTTCAACTATGAATCAAAATTCGAACAAACATTTCTGATGAGCACCTTGAGAACTCACTAAGAATTGTGACTATCTCCATTGATCCAGGCATTGATAGGTGAGTTTTACAAAAAC